TTTGATAAGGATAGGGATCAGCTGCTTAATTTGACTTGCATTGTAATTTTAAAACCTAAATCTCTACTGTGAGAGCTGAAGTTGTGTTTAGTCCATGAGCAACCATCCAGTCATTTTTCTGTCACACTTTCAGTGAATCTGATTTCCTGTTCTAAAGCGATTAATATTATTCAAAAGGCTGATTCTGAAACATTACCTGTTTTTGTTGAACATGGGAAGCTAATGGGTGGATAGTAAAGAGAAGGGGATGATGATTCATGCCACTTACTTGGTTGCTTTATCTTTTATTATTTAGCAACCCAGATCAGTCAGAGAGCTACTGGAAGTTGCACTAGGCAGCTTATAACTTATTCAGGGTTACAGGGATCATAGCAATACATTTCGACTTTTCTATTTTAGGCCATGATCTACAAAGGTTAGCGTATCAGAAGTACACAATTTTTATTTTACGTAGAATTTTCTTGACACATTAATTAACCACATTTGTGCTGCTCCAAATAAACTGCTTAAATTTAATTCACGTATTACTGTGTGTAATCAGCTCATTTGGATAGTCATGAAAAATTCCCCATTCCTGTGAGTTTGGAGTTAATCAGTTCCAAAGATATTTTATTTTACTCAGTAAGTAAGAACAGTCAGTAGTTGCCAATTCTGAATTTTTTTAGTAGAGCAGTATTGAACAAGTTGTCTGCAACTGCAGCATGAAAGTGAAATAAAGGCAAAAGGAGATGTATTTGTAAAGGTTATTAAAATGAATCCATTAGGGGTCGAAGCAATCGCTAAATTGATTAGACTAGACTACTGAAATAGATTTTTCTGAATCAATAATTATTATGGAGTCATCAAATATGTATGTGTTCTGATGTGTAATTGAACTGCTGTCTTCTAATTTATACCAATGTGCATCAAAAGAATGCTCAAAGAATTCTAAAAAGAAGGGCCTTTTCTCCTGTGTTCCAGCTTCTAGCTAGGTGAGGTTTCCTTCCATCTACTGCACATGAATTTCACCTGCAAGATTCAGAATTATGATTGTACCGTGTTTTGAAGAAATAAAGTTTATAGTCTTCCTCCTGCACTCTTCAGGTGTTGAATATAGTCAAGTACCATGGATGAGATTTATTTTTTAACTTTTTAATTTTTTTAACCTTTGGGAATCTCATTAAAATTGTAGTTGAAAGTGTATAGGAGCCATAACAAGAGAAGCTGTCCAGATGATGAGAGAATGCAACATATTCTGCAGCCTAAACATGTTCCTCTACATTCAATCTTTCTGTCTCTATGTTTTTTCCTGCCAAAAGCCTTCTGGGTAGCTTTTACATTTCCAGTTCATGCTGGTTAAATCAAAACCAAAGAATTTTTCCAAATTAATGCAAGCTCTGCATCTTTTTTCTTTTTTCTTTTTTTTTTCTTTTTTTTTTTTGGTGGGGGAGGCAATTACTGCAATATCATAGGAATTGCCATAATGCAAATAAATAAAAATGAGCATTTTCCATATTGAAAAAGTTTTGATTAACTGTGTGTACAGCAGGGTATGTGCAAAGTGTAAGAATGATCTGAGGAGTGACCAGGCTGGTTATTTGTCAGCATTATGTCTTCAGCATAAACAGTCCAAGAAGATGTAGTCAGATTAGAGCAAAAGATGTATTACAGCAATAACTCAAATATGACTTTATCTGAGAAACAGAACATGCTGTATGTGTTGCATATGGGAAGTTTTATATTTTAAAGATCCTTAATTTAAAATGACACATGCAGATTTTCTTCAAAATCTGCTTAGGTTATTTGCATTTCAGTTTTTCTTTTTCTTCTCTTTTTTCATCATTTTTTTTCCACTTTACAATCTCATTCTAATTAATGTTCTAATTGACTGTTTTTCCAGTATTGTACAACTTCTGTGTGTCTATAAACAAGCAAAAATACTTCTGCTACAGTGCCTGTAAATGTCCTCATTGGCTAGTGTTCTGTCTCACAAATTCAGGACATGATGTTTTGGTATGCTAATTTAAAAAAAAAAAAAGGAAAAAAAAAAAAAAGAACCACTTTTGTTTTTTCCAAATGAGAAGACAAAGTGCTTATGTGACAACTGCAGAACTACATCATTTGGGTTCCAGTATTTGGAGTATTGTTTTGTAATACAAACCTGACATGAATACAATAAAGTACAAAGTGAATGACATGTAAATCTGTCTTATTATCGATGTATAAGAAATGGACATTTGAGTTTCTGACATATGGATGACCCAGCACCTGAATTATACACATTCCCCTCTAAAAGGCCTGTTGATTTTCATGCTTACAATAAATAATTATTTCATGCTGCAGATTAAAACTGAGTTACAGAGCAGCAAAACTGCATTTCACAATGGAAATGCAGCTGGCCATGCTCCAAAGTCTCATTGAAATGAGTTGTAGACTAACATTTAATAAGAATATTAGCTTTCTTAAAAAATAAAATACAATTCACAGTGGCACTGAAGCAGTGGGAGCAGTTTTGTGTATCCACCTGGCCATGTTGAAGGACTGAATCTAGTTGCCTCCAGTCAGATTCAATTAAATTATCTTACACCTTCAAACATCAGTGTCATGTTGGAAATTAGTAGGCACATCCTCTTGGAATCATTTAGCAAAGTGGAAAAAGGACCTAATAATCTGAGTGGTTCTGTAAGAGGCAGACTTTGCAGGACATGTAGCAAGCATTTTGGCAAATCTGTTTCAATTATTGGTGTATGTGTGCCGGGTACTCTCTCTGTCTGTGCAGAGATCCAAAATCTCCAGGATGTTAAGGTTGCATCTTCTGTGAAACTAAATAAAGACACTTTTGTTTGATTGTGAGTAGAAGAAAAACTTGTCTGAACCATTGTTGGGACTATATAGAGTCATAGAATCATTTAAGTTGGATAAGACCTTTAAGATCATCACCTCCAACTGTAAACCTAACACTGCCCAATAAATAAATAGATTTATATTTATTGCATATAAACCATAAGCTAAATGTATAGGTTTTATGTTTATGTTTTGTGTTATTCATCACCTAAATATAATATTAACAAGTATTTTGGAATCTTTGGTTCTAAGTAGTGCTTAGGTACCATGATGAATGGCCCTATTTAAAATACAGAGATAGACAGAGTCTGGAGAGGTACTATCCTAGACCCTCGCCATTTATCCAGTCTTAAAGTGATTTTCTGTTTTGCAGAGTGTATTCCATTGAATAACATTGATTTCCTATTTCACTAAAGGGAACTGTCATCTGAAAGGTGGATGAAATATTAAGGCTGTACTAGCTAATTAGATAGATAGATAGGTAGATACACAGATAAATACTGTGCAAATAAAAACCCCAATATTGTCCTATACAGGCTGTATTTAATTTTGAAAACTAAATAACATTGGGTTTAATTTTGTTTATGTGGAAGATAAAATAAAATTCTTTTTAGATTTTAAGAACTATGGGAAAAAATCCTTTTTTACAATGTTAATATATTCTGTATAACCATTGAGCGCATGTGAAAACATGCAATCAATTTTATGCCCCAGTAATTCTGAAACACCTGAACTCTTCTCCCTCCACACACCACCTGAAAATGCACAAGACTGAGCATCCCTTCCGGGCTGGGAATGTATTTCCCAATTTCAGCCCGGAGGGGATTGTAACTAGCATCGTAAAACCCTGATGATAGTTTTGTAAAGGAAAGCCTGAAATAACCTTAAGTACTACCTCACTAATGTGATTCTATAATACATAGCCGGTCTAATTTGAAACTAAGAGTCAGTTATCAAGGAGTACATTTGTAGAGTTAATATCATTAACCTCTTAATTTTCCTCTTTTGGATTTGAATTACAGTTTCCTTTCAAATAAAATCCACTGATGAGACACCTAATGGTTTTCTACTTCAGTTTTGCTGTTCTGATTGCTTTTACAGCTGTCCCCCATTGTCTTTGTATTGAACCCCCTTGCAGAGTCCTTGCAATGAAGTCATTACGCAGATCAAAGTGTAGGCCTGGTGTCCGAACTCTTCCAACTACATTAGCCTCTTCATAAATTGATTAGGAAGAGCATTGCACAGGAAATGGCTGTCAACATGGCTTACATTAAGAAGCGAGCTGGGGCTCCAAATGTGGTGTTTGCATCTCTCTGAGTGTACGTAAACACTTGCAGCCCTGTCAGTTCCTTAAAAGTAGTTTGTCTTACTAGACATAGACAGTGTTGCCATGGAGTCGTACTTAGATTTCACAGCAAAGCTGAGACTGATTTCCAGATAATAGTTGAGTTAGAAAACAGAGAGAAAATGAAAATGAGTAATCAAAATTCCAAGCTGCCTATTATTAGATTTGATACCTATTTTTTCTGTCTTTCTCTATCTGTTACGGATATAATAGTGATGTTGTTTGGGGGGCTGAGGTTTTTTTAGCTAGAAAAAATATAATTAAGGATTCAGAATGGGGATTATCCTTTCAAGGAAAAGAAATCAAGTGCTATACTGCATTACTCTCATTTGCGTGGAAATAATGAGGTCTTTTAATATGTGAATCTCCTTAATGGGTCTATCTTGAAATTGTGCCTGTATAGGGGATAAAATTGTTATTGCTGTTATTGCTTCGTTAGCCTGCATCTAGCAGTTATATTTCCCAAAGCAATTTGCAGCATCCTCTTCCTTTCATTGTCACATTTGATCATTTTAGAATTTGCTCTGAAGACGCAACGATGTCCTCATGTGTGAATTTCGGGGTATAAGCCAGTACATTCAATAATCCCTGTTAAGAAACTTAATCAGAATCTGGCTAACAAATGATATGATCAATGCCACACAATTAATCCATAGTAGAACTGCATAATAAACAGAAGATTACACTTTCTGTGCCAGTTAAAGTTCTATAAATTCCTGCTTTCCTTGAAATGTATTATTAAACATTTTTGTTATTGCTTTACCATTACCATCGTGTGATGCTTTAAAGTATGGAACACAATTTTATTTTATTTTGTGATTTCTCTTACTAGTGGCTAGCATTCAGAAGCTTCCTGCTGCCTCTGTTTTAACCGACATCAATTTCCCCATGAAAGGAAGAAAAGGAATGGTTGATTGGGCACGAAACTCAGAAGACAGGGTTGTCATTCCAAAAAATATCTTCACTCCTATGTCAACAGGTAAAGAAGCATGTCAGCATGTTAATTTTGGGTTAGCTTTAAAAAGGGAACTCAGAATCTTTGTCTTACAGGACCACTGTATGATATAGAAGAGGTTCTTTTACCCATCTTCAAAAGAAATCCAGTACCCACAGCTTATCTCAGAGAGAAAGGATGGGGCTTAATTTCAGCACCTTGAACAAAAAGTGCTACAGAAATCCTAGACATTATTTTCTACGCCAAAGAGCCAAGGCTTAGATATTGTGCACAGGTTTGTACCTGTGGTGGTATGAGGTAACCTGAAGTACAGCTTTACTTAACTCCCTGAAGCTGCCTCACTCCAGAAGAGACTGGGCCATTCCAACAGGTCACCCAGTTTTTGCCGAAGGCTGCTCAGCAGGCAAATTACCCTGGCTTCAGATACAATTTACAAATACCGTTGCAGTGCAGATGTCTGACATTGGAGAATTTACTCACTAGGCATTAAACTCTAAAGACAGTCTTTGAGAATACTTAATTATAAAGGTAAATGAACTAGCATGGATGTCAGTACACAGTGATGGATTTTTTGAAAATGGGATTTTCAGTGGTTTAAATCTTTTGATATATCCCTGACAATGCTGCATCTTTATGACAGACTCCCAGGATATAATTCAAAATGATGATGGTTTATTTAAAATAAAATTTCTACTAGAAAGATAAATGGTTATGCTGATGAAGGCGTGAGAAAGAGAGTTTAAAAATCTTTTTTTCCTTACTCTTTTCAGAACTAGATGAATCAACTGTATTTGTACTTGGAGCAGTGCTATACAAAAATTTAGAACTCATTTTGCCCACTTTGAGGTAAGAAATTTCATAAATGCAATATGAATTAACCTGGTTTGGGATCATAACCACACTACACATCAGGATAAAAGCAGACAACCAAGACTGTTTGCATATTGGTATTGTTGGATTGTTTTTCCCTGTTATTTATTCATGCTTAGTCATTTGTATGATGGAAATAGCCTTTTTATCAAATTGGCTTAATTTATATTTTCTGTAATCTATATTAAGCTTAACTACAGTAATGTTAGAAGTACACACACTGATGTACATTAATGCTCAGGCCACTTACACTTGTGCTTCAAACTACTGTTTGTCCAGTTAGTACAAGTGATCTAGGAATGACGTCATAACCTGGTGTACTAAGGTTGTCTGCTGTGCTTCTACAGAAGTCTCTAGTAGTAGTTTTCCAAGTACTTTTTCAGTGCAAGTTGTATTCAGAAGGGACAGCAGAGCTATAGAGAGGATCCATTTTAGAAACAAGACATGTATGCGCCTGAACAGCTGTTCTATGTCAGTTATGAGGGCCATACACATACATAAAGAAATAGGAAGGTCTCTTGTTTCACTTTTTCCTTTCTGTACTTGATAACAGACAATTTGGAAATAAACATTTCACCTCTGCTCAAATTACTGTTTAAGATCATTTCATGGTCCATTAATACTACCTTATTTCACATGAATGTGTGCACCATTTATCTACTAATGTCCTTTTATGGTAAAAGAAATGGGTGCGGATTGTGTCACAACAGCTGCTAATGAATTCACAACAATTAGAAAGGATGGTAGTTAGGAAGACACCAGATCACCTTTCCCTACTCTATTTAACCAAAAGTTGAGGATTTGAAATAAAGGATGGAAAAACAACAGGTTTTTGCCAAAACTCATTTGAAAACAAAAAAGACTCAGTCCTAAGAAAAAAAACCAAAACACTTCCCAGTAAAGCTGCAATGCACTGTGCAGCGAGTAGCTGCAATGTCGGGGACAGAAATCTCTCTGAGGTAGAGTGCAATTTGAACAGTGATGTCCTGGCAGGACAGCTGGAAGCCTGGGAAGTGCTGGTGAGAGCCATCTACGCTTAAGGCATGGTATAAATGACAGCCCATCCACTTCTGAAATGTCACTAAGCACTTTCCATTTGTTGTGCCAGTTCCTGGAATTAACCAGGAAGGAAGAGATGTTTGTGAGAGATATTTTTTCTTCTCTTCTACCGTATTCAAAGAAACAGAGCCAAATGGCTATTGTAGTCAGTCCTTTTTGGCAGATCTTAGAGACAATCTGCCAAACTTAGGAAAGCACCGAGGTGGCCAAGTACCTTTCAGACCTTTATATTGTAAACCACAGTCTATGATCATGCCTTTTCAGCTCTCACAGGTCAATAGTTTTAATTTACAGAAAGCAAGTGTGAACCTTGAATGCTGTATATTTGTTTATATGACAAGCCTTTCAGGGCTTTTATTTCACCCATTAGAAAGGTGAGATTTGTAGGCCTTACTAGATTTTTCCTAGAATCAATAGCATCCCAAGAAGCAGGAACAGGGGCAGAATAGGGACGTAAAACTACAGCAACTTAAGTACTATGGACTATGAGAAAGTGCATCTTAGTTCCCAAATTTTTTGCTTTTATCTGTTCCACTTTGAGCTGGTTACTGATTTACACAGCAAATTTGACAATTTCTCTGTACAATTCAGTTCACAGAGAGGTTTTGTGAGCTTCTAAAGCAAATGGTCTAATAATCTATGTATATCTATTCATAAATGAAGTCTTTAGAAATTCAAATACAAAGATATCCCACTTTGCCTCTGAATATGTTCAGTATTATTTGAATCCAATTCTCCGCTGCCCAAGAAAAGGAAACGAGCACTATCACTTTCCCTTATGCATGTGAATAAGGAATAAAAGTCATTAGTAATCTGTGATATAAAAATATACCACATATTCCCAGGTACCTCTAGTCTGTTCTTTGTTAGGAGTATAGCGCCTCAGTGCTTCCCTGCACTGCTTTAATATTTATGATGAATTTATACTGAAACTTTTACAGCTTACATCTCTTACCTCATCAGGAAGTGTATCATGCTGGATTTCTTCACCCATGGCAGTCATATTCAAAATTTGATCTCATGCTCTTAAAACAGTACCTCAGTTGTGGCACAATTTCAAGCTGTTTTCACAGAATCATAGAATCATTGAACAGTTTGGGTTGAAAGGGACCTTAAAGACCCAGTTCCACTCCCCTGCCATGGGCAGGGACACCTTCCACCAGACCAGGTTGCTCAAAGCGCCATCCAGCCTGACCTTGAAAACTTCCAGGGATGGGGCATCCACAGCTTCTCTGGGCAACCTCTGCCACTGCCTCACCACCCTCATTGTAAAAAATTTCTTCCTTATGTCTAAACTAAATCTACCTTCTTTCAGTTTAAAGCCATTGCACCTTGTCCTGTCACTACAGACCTTGGTAAAAAGTCTCTTTCTGTCTTTCTTACAACCCCCCTTTATGTATTGAAAGTCTGCAATAAGGTCTTCTGTTCTTCAAGCTGAACAACCCCAACTCTCTCAGCCTGTCCTCACAGCAGAGGTGCTCCAGCCCTCAGATCATCTCCGTGGCCTCCTCTGAGCTCGCTCCGGCAGGTCCATGTCCTTCTTGTGCTGAGGACCCCAGAGCTGAAGGCAGTACTGCAGGGGGGTCTCACCAGAGCGGAGCAGAGGGGCAGAATCCCCTCCCTCGACCTGCTGGTCACCCTGCTTGGGATGCAGCCCAGGCCACACTTGGCTTTCAGGCTGCCAGTGCACATTGCCGGGTCATGTTGAGCTTCTCGTCAACCAGCACCCCCAGGTCCTTCTCCTCAGGGCTGCTCTCAATCCCTTCATCCCCCAGCCTGTGTTGATACCGGGAGTTGCCCCGACCCAGGTGCAGGACCTTGCACTTGGCCTTGTTGAAGCTCATAAGGTACACAAGGGCCCACTCCTCAAACCTGTCAGGGTCCCTCTGGATGGCATCCCTTCCCAACTGCACCACACAGCTTGGTGTCATCTGCAAACTTGCTGAGAGTGCGCTCAATCCCATTGTCTATGTCATTGATTAAGATATTAAATACTATTGAATGCATTTTGATGTGTTCAAACCATTTTAATGTTCATTCAGATGGATTTCTGAATTGAAAAAAAGCTGCAACCATGGTTAGTGCTGAATTTGTGGACCTATTACAGTCTTTGCAAAAATTAGAACTGCAATGCAGGTTTTAAAGGAATCTTTATTATGGGGTGGTTTATCATTTTACACTCATTCAGGTACATTAATGAAGTGAAGGGTTCTGTACATCCCACTGCGTTTATTTTGTTTGCTTACATTTCGCAATGAAAAACTATCATCTTACATGGGTTTATATTAATTACTATTCGTGCTAAATCTTATTTAACTATAATAAACATTATCATGATAACCGTATTAGTGCTGAACATAGTGAAATGCTTCACCACAATAGCATTTTGTATGGAGCAAACACAGTAAAATGTGAAGGGAGGTAACATCATCTGGTTTTCATATGATGCCTAGAACTGTGGTAGCTACCCAGAATGTGTGAATTAAAAAAAACGTTCTGGATAAGCATCGTATGTGATGCTGTTCTAAATTAAATGACAGTTGACAAAATGTTAGTGGTGGGAATAAAGATAAAACAATAAACCAAGGTAAAATAAGTAAAATGGGCTCATGTTTGAGTTCAAAGACCACGTGATTTACACTTTGACAGCCTGATAAAAGAGGTGATTTCTACTGACTGCAGTTAAATATCTAGAAAGCTTTACCACTTCACATGTGATTTCAGTCCCTGGCTTTACAGGAGTTAGGGTGGGAGTAAAGAAAATATTTGATTGTGGTTTCCAGAAGAACAAAGGTGACACACATTCCAATACATTCCTTAATATCAGCACCAAAAGGTTTGCAAGCTTCTGCGTCATCACAAGGAACTTCTTTGTTTAAAATAAACAAATAAATAAAAATATCTCAGTATATCTTTAGGGAAAATCTTTCAAAGCACCTAACCACAGAATCCCTATCTGTTGCATCACAGGTGTTCTGTGAGTAAAATGAGGATTTCATTATCTAGGACAGCCTATACAATATATTTCACAAACTCCAGAATTAGCTGCATTTTGCCATATGGGCTTGATTTTTCTTGTTTTTACTGGCATAGAGTGTGTTAAAAGTCTTGTAAACACAGTGTGAGATGAGAACTTGGCAATTATGTTAATATAGAACTTTTTGGACAATGTGTTTGATCCTAGTGGTACATGTGTATTATTAAAAGAATTTTACCAGGACTGTTGAAACAACAGATTAAGGAAAAGAAGAATAGAATAATCTTTTTTTTTCATGCCCAAGTAAATAAACTTCATTTGATTCTACTTCCTAATATACGTACTGCATTGCACTGTTCTTGTAATGTCATATGGATTTTTTTTAAATCATATATTGAAATATTGAATATTTTGAGCACTACAGACTGAATATTATTTCTGTAGCTCTTGCATCCCTGAGCACGTTTATGTTATTGTTAGATTCACAGAAAATTGATTCTTGGTATAATACTCATCTAAAAGATATTATATATAATCCCTCTCCTGGGTGCTTTGAAGGAATACATTGCATATTGCCATACTATAAGATAGGTTTTAACTTTTCCTTTAACAAATAAGAACAGATAAAGAATCAATGATTTTGCTGTAGCAAACTTTTTTTCACATCACTTAAACAACCCCCATAGTTTTCCTGCTATAATTTCCTGCACTGAAATGTTCTCTTTCCCCATTTGAAACATCATTTCTGACACCCTCCTTCAGGTGCTTTACAGCCGAAAAGGCCCTTAAACTTCCTTAGGTCAGCTTTGTTAGACTGAGGACGGAGTACCTCAGAGGGGCTTTTACTGCCTAGCATGACTGCTGTAGTATCCGTAATTTCTCTGTAATGTATACAACATTTACAGATTGAACTACAACTTCTTTCATGCTGTCTTGAAATAGCAACATGCCTTATTCATTAGTTCATTTCTCTTGAGCAACACAGAGTCATTCTAAAAAGAAAAGAAAACATGAATTTCATATCACATAGAATCAATATGTATACCTTTATATAAAAGAATACCCTCAAAATGTATACCCAGATAGAAAAAGAGCTTAGTAAAATAACTCTATTTTATTAATATTGTTATTAATTCAGATTGGAAAAAATACTAGGAGAGCAGCTCTGGAAGCTCTTCTTGAGCCTTTACTCAATCAAACTTCGTCATCTTGAATCTTCAAGGATTTATTCAACCATAGTTCCCAAGGAATTTTTTGAGTAATTGATTTCAAAATTTGACCTTGATGTGCATTTTTCTGGACAGTCAGCAGAGCACCATCCTGTACAAGTTCATTTCTCAGTAAAGATAAATTTTAGATGTATTTTTTTTATGAAGGAGAAGGAAGTAATGGTGAAGTCACTCTTCACATATCATTAAAAAGCGACAAGAAAACGCACTTGCCTGGGAAGTGTGAGATAGGCCATTCCCATTCTGTGTCGTTCCCAGTATGAGGGGAACTGAAACCCACATATTCCACCTCCTGGAATGTTTTGTAAAAGCTGATTTCTTAAATTCCTGAATAAATGTTCTCAGCAGTAAGCCATTGTTTAAAAAAATATCTGCAACAAAGGTATCAATGGCAC